TTGTGATATCGCCGTGTGCGTGCTGTGAGTTACCGTATATGATATCAATGATTCGGTTGAGCGGGAAGAACTGTGCTCCGTTCCTCACCCCTTGCGAGATCGAGCAAGGAAAAATGAAAGATGCGCGACACGGGAGAACGTGGAGCACATGGTGGGTGTAATGGCATTCATATGCAGATGTTTAGGCATGAATTTCTTGATAGTCGCTGTGGGGTGGTGAGTGAGGCGTCTGCTGCGCAGTCGACGCTGGTGACATCAGCACCAACACAGATCAGATGCACAACATCAGGAAAGGTCTGCAGCGCCGCGACTGGTTGCAAAAATTGCCACTCAAAGCAATGCAGCATGGGGACGACCTGCAGGAGATGTCTTGGGGGGTTCCATAAGTGACAGCGGAGCTGACGCTGTGGTTTTGTTTGCAGGCAGAACGGTTGCAGTGTGCTCACGTCGCACCAAGCGGGCGCGCACAAAGCAGCAGAGAACTTCAAGCGTGTGATATCTTCGCTAGATCGCTTCACAAGGGGATAATCAAGCGGCTCTGTGTGTTGAGTCATGGCTCTTCCACTTGTCACGCGGCAGCTGCGCGCCTGGCAAACCGACACCATGACACCAGTGCGCCCAGCCCTGCACTGCCGGCGATTCTTGTCCTGTCCCACCGCACCTTGGAGAGCAATCAGGCTGCCAGCACGCCTGGCCCATCAACTGCAGCAGTGACGCGCTCCAGCTAGCCCCTGGCATGCATGCTTCCGCACTCACACATTCGGGCTGTGCGCAGGCACACGGAGCGCGAACTGTGAGATCTGCCGGCTCGGCAGCCCCCCGTGCCACAGCACCAACTGGCGCGCAGCCGCAACAAACGCTCCGCGATGCCTGGCGGCTCGCGTGCCAAAAACATGATTCTGAGGCCGGCGACGCCGTGCGCGCGTTGATCGTGCAGTAGACCTGCTGCGTGTGGTGCAAACACCGGTCGGTACACACAGGAAAGGGAAGGCTTCGCCATGGACCACGGGTTCTGCACGCCCCAGGCCAGCAGAGATGCTGGGGTTTCAAGGCTGCACGACCACTCCAAAGCCAACACAGGACCCAGCTGGCAGCTCTGATCACAAAGCTGGCAAGTGAGAATGCGTCTATAGCTTTATGTATGGTGATTCACACGCGCTTGGCTGTGATTACAATGAGGGCCACAGCAAGCGGCGGCACCACACGTCCAGATGCTGATTGGCTCAAGATCTTACCGGCGATTCGCCGAGTCACAGGTGCCTGGGGTGTTGCGAATCCAATGCAGGGCGCGGCAATTGGCAGCACCACACGTGTCGGCGACGCCACAGGACGGCACCCCAATGACGTCATGCCCTGTCATTTTCCGCTGGCCCCTCGTCTGCTGCGGCAACCCTACTTCAAACGTGCTAGCTGTTCATCATTCCCACTTGCAAACTCCGCCCCTGCTCGCAACACATCTTTACAATTATCCTTCCAGGTGCGTGCGCGTTCAAGCCGCATGCCACAACGGCGCGGCTTCAAGCGCATCCCCACGCCCAGAGCACTGAACGCCCCTGCCATGACTGTGCCGGCCCTGCGTATGGCCCAGCTGCGACGTCCCTCCCTCCGCCTCTCTTGTGTCCATCCACCCGGCAACGCAGATTGGCATCTACCCAGGCCACCTGCAACCATGTCGTCCCAGGACCGCGGCCAGAAGACCCCCAACGACCCCGTGAAGGAGCAGGCACGCTTGGGCACATGTGCAGCTGCGTGCACATGCCACATGCTGAGCTAGGCGCAGTGCGCCTCGCTCAGGGTTGCTCCCTAGCACGCAGGGCA